CAGTTCGTCAGGTGGTCGATCGAGAGAATACATCTGAAATCAATTTAGAAAAAGTAATTGAGTAACCAGTTCAACAAGAATTAGATTTATGTAATTGTAAATTATGTAATAATAATTGATGTAATCGCCGAAACGTAATGAAATAAACGATGTTCAAAGTTTTTACTTTTTAATCATTTAAAAGTTTCTTTTGGCATATTATATTTTGCAAACGGGTATAATCAATGAATTATGGGATTACACACATGTTTTAGACATCGCAAGCTAATTAATGCTTTTGGTTTGGTAATTCTTTAAGGATCTGTCTTGTGATTAAGTCGAATCTAAGAGCTTTTTTCAGCCAAATTAACTCGTTCTTCTAGTGTTATTCTAAAACTTTTCCAGTCAGTCCTCTTATTAGCTAGACAGGGATTGTTTGGTTTTGAAATTATAGGTTCGCTCAGAGTCAACACAATCGGTGAATGATCCGAATTAAGCTCCAGGCTGTCTTCAATTTCCATATAATTGCTTGATACATTTTTAATAATGTTAAAGTCTATAAGGTCAGGAACTTTTTCCGGATCTGTAGGCCAGTATGTAGATTTCCCCGTTGAAACGACTTCACATCCACAGCTCGGGACCGCTCTGAGCAGTTCCTTTACTTTCGTTGTAATTATACTGTTATAGTCTCCACCTATTATAAATCGATTTCCTAGATTTTTGAAAAGTTCTTCACATCTTCCACATTTGATGTGTTTTGGAGGACTATATACACTAGCCAACGTAATGTTACTATTCTTGTTTATAAGTTTCACTATCATTGCTTGGTTGTTTTCTGACTCAAATTTATTTTTATCATAATGACAAATATTTTCTTTCATTATTACCGCACTTCCTCCTTCCGCTTTCTGGATGAATTGCGTAGTAAACTTTATATCTTTTATATTTAATAAATGATTGCCTTGTGAAGTGTACGTCGGACTAGCAGGACGAATGTCACCAAAAATCACTAGTTTTGACGCCAAAAGTTGAACTGAAATTATATACCTATTGCCGTGCAGTCAACTGCCAGTAGTCTCAAATGCCATGAGCACAGAACATCCCTCCCGGGGGGATGACCTGTGGCCATGCGAATCAAGTCAAAATGTGCATTCAGCAGAATTCAGCAAAAATGCCCATCATCACGTGACCGATGAGTTATCGCTAACTCATCGATTGTGTCTGCTGAATGCGACGGTTGCTTCCCTTATAATTCCCTAGAAGACGATCAACCGCAAGTTTTGAAAAATAGTCTTATTATTTAATTTTATTCATTTTGTAATAAACCGCAACATTCTAACTAAGAGGGTGGTCGAGTTTCCATATCAAGTTAGGCAATGGCAATATCGCACAAATCTATAGGGTAGTAAGCAGCAGACCAAGGTAAATAAAAGATGGAAGAAGCCTTGTATACAATACCTATACATATACCTTTATATAGCATGTCGTGGTCTTCAAACTCAAGAGAGTCAAGAAAAGACATTGTTATTGAGTTTCTTCTGAGGTACTCAATTGATCACACAGAGTAATGATAATAAATGTTTATTGAACTTGACAATAATAAAAGACAAAGAAAAAACCGTTTGAATATCGTGACGACCAAGTAAACGCAGTTACTTTCCCGGAGGTTGTCACTTTACTAACTACTACAACGTCGCAGCGGTCAGTGCATCCCTAAACATATGATGCTACCTGAGGACCCAAACACATGCAACACATTTTAGAAAGCTAACTTATGCTAGGACATTAAAAATAACATATTTTTATTCAACAATTGTCATAAGGTTTCATTGCAGTCCGAGCTTCGAAAAGCAATATTTACGACTGCTTCTCGGTCTCCATATGAAAATTTCGAGGTGAAATTAAAAAATGCAAAGGTCAAGTTGCGAGCTCATAAGGACTGGATAAGCAGTTGTGTGGATTAAATACGCACTGTTTGCTTTCACCTCACTTGCAGTTTGTGGGAATCCGGAACTATATTTTTTAAATTTGAATAAACATAGTAGCATATTCTTCGATTGATTTTTCGAAAAGTAATATGTATATTTAATAAATAGTGTATTAAATTAAATAGTGTATTAAATAATAAAAGTTGTAAGGAGCATTCTACGTACAAATGGAAAAGTTGTATAATTTCATGATTATGTAATTGCGTTACGACCACATTAACTTACTAAAACTAAAATACAATTTTGTTATATTTTTTAATATACCAGTTCTGACAACGATTGACATGTTGAAAGTAGCCCAGAATTACAAAATATTCAAATATTGGTATGCATTAAAAAATTGAAACGTTATACCTTTATAGACAAATATTTGGTGCATTTTCCCGAACAGTTTTAAGGCTCTTTGCATACAAAATCTTGGGCTATGAGGCTTTTAATACCATTACGACTTTTGTAGCGCGACAGTTTTGACGCTGAAAATGGAACTCATTATTTTAAATACAGTCCTACACACGAGCGACTTATTGTAGCCAAAGACATTAATAAATAGACCAAGCTAGTAATTCATAAATCCCGATTTGTTTGGGACCAATATTAAATTCTATCGATCGGCGATTTATCAATGAAAAACAGGTGGTAGGGATAAAGTAAGTACCGAGCAAAGAGTAGAATTAATCGGAAAATCAACTGGCCTGGCTAATAGTCATAAAGCCCATTTACACGCTCAAGCCAACTGAACGATCTGGCTTGCGCAAGCCAGATCTGTGCAGATGAACTGAACGAAAATCTGGCGTGATGTGAAGGAAGACCACCCAAACGTGCATTGTTGCCAAGATGGAACATTTGGACGAATAGTTAATTCTTGCAACGGCTGCAGTGTGTGTAATTAAAAAAAGATGAACTTAAAAACTAAAAGGAAATGGTGTACACCATGGTTGCTGAATAGGAATTTCTTGTCTCATACGAATTTAATAGCGGAATTACGCAATGATTCTGACGATTTTCG